ATCTCCACACTGACATACGCATGTCAGTACTAATTATGGCAAATTACAGAGAAAAATCCATCAGTGAGATTAAACAGTGCGCTGTGAACGTGTTTGAGGCACGTTCTCATGCTAAGACGCCCATAGAGGTGTTTCCTGGTGTAAAGGTTAAACCCCACTCCCTAGAAATGGAAAAAAGGTGCGCGCCACCTCCTCCTAAAACAGGCGAGAAAAGGCAGTATTTTCAGACTAACAAACCGCATAATGAAGGTGCACGCTGGGACAAAAAGGCTCCTCTTTCAGAGGATGAACGTGATTATCGTACATGGGACATGCGCAGGACGCAAGAATATGGGATCCAAGAGGACCCATATTATCATGGGAAATCCGAAGAGGAACCCCCAAAAGACGTACCTAGCCGCCTCCCACCTCAGACGAAACGTACCGAGGCGAAAAAATCACAAAAGTTCCAGGAACAAGGCCCTAAACCTCTGAGCTCGGAAGAGACAGAGGAAATGCAAAGGTTTTTAGACACTTTGATACACGCTGAAATGGGAACCCAACCAGGAGCACAATGTAGTGATCTGATCGCTACTAACTCTGAAGGCGCGAATGACAACATTACAGATGTCGGTGAAACACACCAAGACATTGCTGTTATTGCCTCCAACAACCCCTCATCGGACGAAGGGGGGATAAACTCACACACAAACGATGATGAGTCATCGCAAACTGAAAACTCAGAACCTGACCTTCATGATTTTGAACTAGGCATCCCAGTTCTGGGAGGACTCCCAGATAACCTGGTACCGAGTCAAGAAGCTGGGCCAGTATGTTTCACGAAACCATCACAGGCCATCGCTCTTTTCTCAACCAATGATGTCGACCAAGGACCTCAAACCTATGGTGCCTTGCCCATAGACAGGTCCGACGACTCAGAAAAGGATTCGTTGGAGCTCCCCATGGAGCAAGAACCCTCATCAGTCTCATCACAGATTGAACAGGTGGTCGCTCAAGCCGACACTCTGACATCTGATGAAGAAAGAGACAAACTTCGCCAAGTTCTTTTAAAATATGAAAAGTCAATTTCAACTGACCCAGACATCATCCAACTTCAGAAGTTGAATGATCCTGCAATTAACTCGATGATACTGTATCTGACTGACCCAGACAAATACACTCCATCGAAAGTCAAACTGGATTCCAATCCAGACCTAAAAGTCCTCTTTCAGCTGCGCAAACAGTTAAAACTACTCAAGGACAACCTAACTTTAGCTCATGGAGCGACGTCCTCACCCGTGTTCGCAGTCTCCCACGACCGAAGGGGGGTGACGCCAGTTAGGATAATGCTACCAGACGCGATAACATGATCAAATCTGACATTCAGAGTGAGTGGCGCACCGAAACGTTGTTTCCTAGTTGCTTAATCACTGCTTTTGTCGATGTTGAAACGTTGTTTAACTGGTTGCTTAGTTACTGTTCTTGTCGATGTTGAGACATCGTTTAATTGGTTTTTGGTATTGTTTTCGAACACCCCAGGCAAGAATGAATTTTGTTGTGTAGTTAAGTTAGAGACTAAGAAGCCTTTGACCATGCCAACATGCAGTTCATTCATTAAATTGCAATCTTTGCGGAGTCAATGTATATTATTGCTACCTTGAGTACCATAATCTACATTGATCTCACAACGCTTAAGCCGAACCTACTCGAACAATTCTATTCGGGGGGATAGCTAATTCTTTTTGATAAGTCTCGCCATAGACTTCCAAAACATTTATGGGAAAACCAAACACCCAATCTCAAGTCGTTCGTCTAAAAGACAACAGACAATTACACCAAACTATATTTTACCATGTAAAGCTAACTTAAACCAAGTTAGAAATGGAAAAATAGTTTGGAACCCTTTTCTATAGGCATAAACCCCTGTAGTTACCCCTTTTCAGCATTCTCCACCCCTTAACTGGTAGTTGTAGCTGTTCCCAACCATAATAGCTTACACACCAGATGCATATAGTTTAAGGCCTTATGTAAAATCCCCTTCATAAGCCCACCTTAAACCACATAATTGCATGACACATTGAACCAGAACGGCACAGGCTGGACGTCGCTGGAGACAACCTTCGCTGGAGGCGACCTGCAATCCTGACGTTGGTCTCCACTCTTCATCCAGTGGCCGCTTCTTCAGTTCAACCCAAGGGTACCCCTCTGTATGCTGATTAATCAACACTTCCAATCGCTGTGGATTTACCGTTGTGGATTATATGACTTTTTCCAATGGATTACAGACTCTGTTTCCAAGGGGTTAAAGCATTGCTACAATGGAATTATCGAGACGATATGGAATTATAATCAACACAATGGAATACCAAGAACATTGTGGAATTACCTTGACTTTGTTTCCTTGCTGGATTACTTCTGACTTTGGTCTTCCTTGAAGGATTACTTCTGACTTTGGTCTTCCTTGCTGGATTACAT